AAACTCACCCATTGAATTTTCTAGTTGGTTGTTGTGCTTTTCTGTTCTAAAATTCTCCACCTGACACTTTTAAAGTAAGTTTCAGTTTTCTGCTGAATTCTCATTTTGTCTTCTGTTTTCATTAACACATTAAGAATATTTATTTTAAAACTTTGTACATGTACCTTCATTATTTGTCTCCACTTGTGAGTCTAATTCTCCTGTCAGTTATTTCTCTTGTTTTCAAGCTTTTTTGGGGGGGCCTTGAGTTTGGCTATTTTTTATTGAGTGATGGATACTGTGTAAGAAAAATTTTCAAAAAGAAAATCTCTTTCTTCAGAGATGATTTATATTTGCTCTGGTAGGTGACTGAAGCATTAGAAATCCTGGGTTTCCTTAAACCAGTTTCTGAGATGATGTGAAACTGACTTTTCATCATTGGAAATGCTAGTCTATTTTGAATTCACTTTTCTCCTGGTATCTAAGTCCTCTTGGCTTCCAACACGAAACACTGGGGATTTACCAGGATGCCCTCATTCGTGGCAGTCCTGGTCTACAAATTCTGTGCCTCCTCACAAAGAAACTGCCAAAAATTCTGCTCAAAAATTCAACTTGTTGGGACTTCCCTGATGGTCCACTGATTAAGAATCTGTGCTTCCATTTCAGGAAGCACAGGTTTGATTCCTGGTCAGGGAACTAAGATACCACATGCCATGGAATTCGGCAAAAGAAAAAAAAATCACCTTGTTGACTTTTCAACTACCTCTTCACCATACTTCCCACCACCTCTACCACTAACCAGAATAGTGAATAAGATACCAATGTTGACTTCACCTTTTTATTTTTTTTAATTATGTCCAGAACACTGAACACTTGTCACATCAACAATCTAGATTTCTCTTATTTATATGGAACACCCATCTATTTTCTGCTTCCCTAAAAGTGCTTCAACTTTTTCAGCTTTAATTCTAGTCACCATTTACTTTTTTATTGTCATAAGATACAAATAATACAAAATTTACCACTTAACCGTTTTAAGTGTATAGTTCAGTGGTATTATATATGTTCACCCTTGGACAGCAAGGAGATCAAACCTATCAATCCTAAAGGAAATCAACCCTGAATATTCATTGGAAGGTCTGATGCTGAAGCTGAAGCTCCAATACTTTGGCCACCTGATATGAAGAGCTGACTCACTGGAAAAGACCTTGATGCTGGGAAAGACAGAGGGTAAGAGGAGAAGAGGGTGACAGAGGATGAGATGGCTGGATGGCATCACTGACTCAGTGGACATGAGTTTGAACAGACTCCAGGAGATAGTGAAGTATAGGGAAGCCTGACGTGCTGCAGTCCATGGGGTGGCAAAGAGTCAGACACAACTTAGAGACTGAATAATAATAATGTTGTACACTGTCACCACCATTCCTCTACATAACTCTTTTCTTCTTGTAAAATTGAAACTCAATACCTATTAAACAATAACCACCCATTCCTCCACCTCCAGCCCCAGGTAACCAGAATTCTACTATGTAGGATTTGTCTTTCTTTATGACTTTTAACTACTCCAGTATCTCTATGATTTTAACTGCTCCAAATACCTTCTATAAAGTGAAGTCATTCAGTATTTGCTGTTTTGTGACTGACTTACTTCATTTAGCATAACGTCCTCAAGTTTCACCTATATTGTGGCATAAGTCAGAATTACCTTCTGTTTTAAGGCTAAATAATATTCCATTTTATGTATATACCACATTTTGCTTATTCATTTATCCACTGATGGACACATGGGTGCTTTGATATTTTAGCTGTTGTGAAAAATGCTGCTATAAACACACATAAACAAATATTATTCAAAACTCTGGAATGGAACTGCCACATCATAATTCCACCTTTAATTTTTTTTTATACAGCAGCTATACCACCTTACATTCCCACCAATAGGGCACAACAGTTCCAGTTTCTCCACATTCTCATCTCTATTTGTTATTTTCCATTTAGAAAAAAAAATAGTATCCATCCAAATAGATGTGAGGTGGTATCTCATTGTAATTTTGACTTGCATTTCCTTAATGATCAGAAATGTTGAGCATTATTACCTGTACTTATTGGTCATTTGCATATCTCCTTTGGACAAATGTCTATTCAAGTCCTTTGTTCATTTTAAATTTGGTTTTGTTGTTGTTGAGATTTAAAAGCTTCTATGTCTTCTGGATATTAATTTCTTACCAGATAAGTGATTTCAAATATTTTTTCTCATTCCATGGATTGCCTTTTTGCTCTGTCATATTTTAAATTTTCATGCAGTCCAATTTGTCTTTTTTCTTTGTTGCCTGTGCCTTCAGTGTCATATCCAAGAAATCATTGCCAAATCCAATGTTGTACAATTTTTTACCTCTTTTACTCTAAGAGTTTTAGAACTCTGATCCACTTTATTTTTTATATGGTGTTGGATATGGGTACAATTTCACACGTATGCATGTAGATATCTGGTTTTCTCCATACCAGTTGTTTAAAGCACTGTCCTTTCCCCCATTGAGTGGTCTTGGCATTCTTGTAAAAAATAATTGGAATACATATGTAAGGGTTTATTTCTGAGCTCTCTTTTCTATTTCATCGGTCTTCATGCCAGTACCATACTATTTTGATTACTGTAATGTTGTAGTAAGTTCCGAAACTACAAAGTGTAGGCCTTTTAAGCTTAATTTTTTTTTTCAAGATTTTTTTTGGATATTCAGGGTTTCTGAGATTCCATATGAATTTTAGATTAGGCTTTTCTATTTCTGCAAAAGAATGTCATCAGGATTTTGATAGGGATTGCACTGAATCTATAGATTATTTTGGATAGTACTGACATCTTGCTAAGTCTTTTGATACATTAACAAAGTATATTTCTATTTGTTTATTTTTTCTTTAGTTATTTTCAGCAATGCTCTGTAGTTTTCATTGTATGAGTCTCTCACTTTCTTAGTTAAATTTGTTCCTAAGTATTTTAATTTTTTTGATGCTATTATAAATGGATTTTCAGGGATAATTTTCTTTTAGGATTGTTCATTGTTAGCAACTGATTTTTGTCTTCAATTTTGTAGCCTGCTACCTTGCCAAATTAATTTAATACTGTTATAACAGTATTTGGGGGACTTCCCACATGGCACTAGTGATAAAGAACTCCTGCCAATGAAGGAGAATAAGAGACTAGGGTTTGATCCCTGGGTTGGGAAGATCCCCTGGAGGAGGGCATGGCAACCCACTCCAGTATTCTTGCCTGGAGAATTACATGGACAGAGGAGCTTGGTGGGCTACAGTCCATAGGGTCGCAAAAAGTCAGACACGACTGAAGCGACTTAGCATGCACACATGCATAACAGTATATTGTTGCTTGTTCAGTCACTCAGTCATGTCTGACTTTTTGTGACCCCGTGGACTGCAGCATGCCAGGCTTCCCTGTCCTTCACCATCTCCCAGAGCTTGCTCAAACTCACATCCATTGAGTTGGTGATGCCATCCAACCATCTCATCCTCTGGCATCTCCTTCTCCTCCTGCCTTCAATTTTCCCAGCAGCAGGGCCTTTTCTAATGAGTCAGCTCTTCACATCAGGTGGCCAAAGTACTGGAGTTTCAGCTTCAGCATCAGTCCTTTCAATGAATATTCAGGATTGATTTTCTTTAGGATTGACTGGTTGGATCTCTTTGCAGTCTAAGGGACTCTCAGGAGTCTTCTCCAACACCACAGTTCAAAAGCATCAGTTCTTTGGCGTTCAGCCTTCTTTATGGTCCAACTCTCACATCCATACTTGACTACCGGAAAAACCATAGCTTTGACTATATGGACCTTTGTTGGCAAAATAATGTCTCTGCTTTTTAAAACACTGTCTAGGTTTGTCATAACAGTGTATTAGTGGAACCAAAAGAAACTCTGGTGCTAATATTTTTCCTGCCCTCCAGAGGGAGCTCATCAGCCAAAATAAAACGCCATGGAAAATACTTTTAGAATGCATACTTTGAAAGGTTTTTCTTCATGTGATTTGGTTGTGAAAAGGAAAGGGGTTCCCTCATAAAAATTCTTAGAGCTTAATACTTAAAATTTTGGAAATAAAATTTCTTCACCTACTTTTCACTTACTTATCCTCTCCTCCCCCTGCCAAAATTGTATTGGTTTAGGATCTATTTATTAAAATATTAAAATGCAATACCTGATTTGTTTGTAGAATAGTTGACTGTCATTAGGAAATATAGTCTTTTTAAGCCAATAAAATCTTTGCATAAGTGGTGGATACAGCTGAAAAGTGTATTGAGTTAGGAGGCAGAAACAACAATGCCAACTTCCCTCCCAGTGAGGGTCTTTTCCAGTTTTAGCACCCATTAAGATCAACATCAGAGGGAGCTAAGCTTTCAGACCAGAAGATCACTGCAGGACAAAAGGTTAAACCAGAACTTTGCCCAAGTAAGAAAAACCAGTAGTTCAGAAAAAAGAAACAGCGGGCGAGAAAAGATTCTGAACATATGCAAAGATGCTCACTTCACACATTAAAAAAAATAAAAGGTTAACTGTTAATGACAGGTCCTTCAAGTTCCTAAGAGTAAAGAGAAACAGGCAGTATTATATGTTGTTGGTTAGAATGTAAATTGGCAAAACCTCTTTGAGTAACAATTTGATAAAATCCATCAAAATGAAAAATGCACAAACCCTTTGATCCAGCAGCTCTACTCTGGGAATATTTTCTTCAGAAATACTCCCAGAAGTCAGCATCCATTTGACATCAAAATCAGGTTAGGTAAGCATAGGAAGAGAGAACTATATAGGCTAATCTGGCTTGTGAACCCACATGCAAATATTAACAAGCTGAATCCAATGATAATTTCAAATAATGCTTAAATGAGTAGAATTTACCTCATGAATGCAAGTGTATTTATCATTTTCTTAAATATAGACAATACAAGCTGATTCATATTTATTTAAGCAGAAAATACAAGTACTGAAACAATATTTATTCACTCACCAGGTTTTCAAGAAGCATGAAGAGCAGTCTCACAAACAAACAGCAGGTAATTCCCTGGCAGTCCAGTGGTTAGGACTCCATGCTCTCATTGCTGAGAGCTGGGGTTTGATTCTGGTTGGAGAACTAAAATCCCACTGTGTGGCCAAAGAAAGAAAAAAAAAAAAGAGAGAGAGAGAGAAACAAATAGAGCAAAGAAAAGCTACATATCCAGCACCACAGAAAACACCACACCCTAGAAGTAGCCTGATGAAGATTCCACCACAGGCACAAAGGATGCTCTCTTCGTTCTCTGCATCCCAAACTGCAAGTTGAAAAACCCTGTGGGTACATTTGACTGGCCAAACTGTCATATGTCTGCCCAGCAGCCAGGGAAGCTGGAAAAGCAAGAAACTGGCATTTACATCTCTATAATTAGAGACAAGCTGTCTTCCACCAAGACAGGTAAGACAGGTAGTCCCCAAACACAGGGCTCAGATGCCAGGTAGTCTTAAATATGGCCAAGGCCCACCACTGTGAGGAAATTTCCACAGTAAAAAAAAAAATCTATTGATGTAATTCACAATGTTAACAGATATAAGAAGAAAACCATTTAATTCTCTCTATAGTTGTAAAAAAGAAAAACATTTAATAAAACCCTTCATTAAAAAAAATTAGCAAACAACTTAGCTTAAAAATGGGCCAAAAACCTTTCCAGACACCTCACCAAAGAAGATACACAAACAGCAAATAAGCACATGAAAACATGCATCACACCATACATCATCAGAAACATGCAAATTAAAAAACAAAGAGAAACCACTACACACATACCAGAATCGCCAAAATCCAGAACATTGGTAACACCAAATGTTAGTGGGAATATGAAACAACAGGAACTCTCATTAATTGCTAGTGACTGGGAATACAAACTGTTACAGCCAACTTGAAAGACAGTTCAGTAGTCTCTTACAAAATTAAGCACACTCTTCCCATATGATCCAGCAAACTTGTTCCTTGATATATAGCCAAAGGAGTTAGAAATTGATGTTCCCACAAAAATCTGCACACAGATGATTACAGCGTATTTATTCATAATTGCCAAAACTTGGAAGCAATCAAGATGTCTGTCAGTAGGTGAATAAGTAGATAAACTGTGAACACCTAGATAATGGAATATTAACCAATGTTAAAAAAAAAAAGAGCTATCAAGCCATGAAAAGATATGGTGGCTCAATAAATGCACATTACCATGTGAAAGAAGTTGATCTGAAAAGGCCACATATTGTATGATTCCAACTATATGACATTCTAGAAAAGCAAAAACTATGGAAATGGCAAAAAGATCACTGGTTGCCTGGGGTTGGAGGAGAGAAGGATAAATATGTGAAGCACAGAGGATTTTTAGGGCAGTAAAAATACTCTATGATACTATAATGGTGGATACATGTCACTCATTACACATTTACCTATATCCCTGAAATGGACAAGAAGAAGAAAAGTGAAATGTGAAAATTGCTCAGTCGTGTCCAACTCTTTGCAACCCCGTGGACTATGCAGTCCATGGAATTCTCCAGGCCAGAATACTGGAGTAGGGAGCTGTTCCCTTCTCCAGGGGAATCATCCCAACCCAGGAATCAAACCCAGGTCTCTCACATTGCAGGCAGATTCTTTACCAGCTGAGCCACCAGGGAAGCCCACAAGAAGAAGAGTGAACTCTAATGTAAACTATAAATTTTGGGTGTCAATGTAGGTTCATCAGTTGTAATAAATGCACCACTTTGGTGAACAATGTTGACAGTGGAGGAGGTTATACATGCGTAGGTCCAGGAAGTAAATGGGAATTCCCTGTACCTTCTGCTCAATTTTGCTGTGAACCTAAAACTGCTCTAGAAAATAAAATATTTTCAGAGAAAGACAAATACTGTATGATCTCACTTATAAGTGGAATCCTTACTAAAAAAAAAAAAAAACTCATTGAAAAAGAGATCAGACTTGTGGTTACCAGAGGCAGAGAGGGGGTAGGAGGAATTGGAGGAAGGTCATCAAAAGGTACAAACTTCACTTATCAGATGATTAAGTACTAGAGATGTGGTATACAACATGATGACTATAGTTATCACTCTATGATATATAGTAAAGTTGTTAAGAGAATAAATCCTAAGAGTTTTCATCACAAGGAGAAAAATTCTTTTTATTTTATCTATATGAGAAGATGGATGTTAGCTGTGGTAATCATTTCACAACATATGTAAAGCAAACCATCATGCAGTATGACTTAAACTTTTACACTGATGCATAGATAATTTCTCAATAAAACTGGAAATAATAAAATATAATCTTAAAAAATAAAGCCTAAAACCATGAGCATATTAGAATAGGAAGAAACATAATTAATTTGAAAAGTTTAGCTAAGAGAAACCTCCCACCAATACTCTTATTGGTGGTAAAGCACAAAAAGTGTTAAAGTCAGAGAGAAAAGTGGTATCGCTCCCCTCAAAACCTTTTGAACACTGTATTGGAGTTCTTGAGTAACAACAATAAACTCAAATTATTAAAACCAAGAGCAACTAGTGACCTTATAAAATAAAAAAGAATCAGAAGAGAATACTATGAATAATTGTATGCCAACAAATAAGGTAACCTAGAACACATGCCTAGAAATAAAAACTACCCAAACTGACTGAAGGAGGTCTGAACAGACGTATAACAAGCAAAGAAATGAGTAAGTAATCCAAAACTTCCAATAAAGAAAGCCCAAGGCTGGTTGACTTCACTGGTGAATTTTATAAAACATGAAGGAACTGACACAAATTCTTCTAACATTCTTCCCAAAAACAGGAGAAAAGGAAACTCTTCCTAACTCATTCTTTGAGGTCAGCACTACTATGACACCAAAGCCAGACAAAGACACTAAAATAAAACAAAAGACCAATACCAATTATGAGTACAGATGTAAAAATCTTCAGCAAAATACTAGGAAATCAAATCTAAAAGCATACTGATAGGGTTACACATCATGACCTAATAGGATTAACCCCAAGGATTCAAGGCAGGTTCAATATACCAAGACCAATGTAGTAATATACCATATTAATAGAATAAAGGGGCAAAAGTCATAGGATTATCTCAACTGATAGAGAAAAAGAATTTTACAAAATCTAACATCTTTTTGTGATTAAAAAGAAAACCATTCAATAAACTAGGAATAGAAGGGAACTTCTCAAACTAATCAAGGGCAGCTATGAAAAAACTACAGTTAATATTATCATACTTAATGGTGAAAGACTGAAAGTTTTTTCCTCTAAGATAAGGAATAAAAAAAGATACCTTCTCTCACCACTGCTACTCAACACTGTACTGAAAAGTTTTCAGCTCAGTTCAGTCGCTCAGTCGTGTCCAACTCTTTGCGACCCCATGAACCACAGCATGCCAGGCCTCCCTGACCATCACCAAATCCTGGAGTCTACCCAAACCCATGTCAATTGAGTCGGTGATGCCATCCAACCATCTCATCCTCTGTCATCTCCTTCTCCTCCTGCCCTCAATCTTTCCCAGCATCAGGGTCTTTTCCAATGAGTCAGCTCTTCGCTTCAGGTGGCCGAAGTATTAAAGTTTCAGCTTCAACATAAGTCCTTCCAATGAACACTCAGGACTGATCAACAGACTGGTTGGATCTCTGTGCAGTCCAAGGGACTCTCAAGAGTCTTCTACAACACCACAGTTCAGAAGCATCAATTCTTCAGCGCTCAGCTTTCTTTATAGTCCAACTCTCACATCCATACATGACCACTGGAAAAACCATAGCCTTGACCAGGCAGACCTTTGTTGACAAAGTAATGTCTTTGCTTTTTAATATGCTGTCTAGGGTGGTCATAACTTTCCTTCCAAGGAGTAAGCGTCTTTTAATTTCATGGCTGCAATCACCATCTGCAGGGATTTTGGAGCCCCCCAAAATAAAGTCAGCCACTGTTTCCCCTGTTTCCCCATCTATTTGCCATGAAGTGATGGGACCGGATGCCATGATCTTAGTTTTCTGAATGTTGACCTTTAAAGTTTTAGTCACAGCAATTAAGCAAGAAAGAGAACTAAAATTCATCCAAAGTGGAAAGGAACAAGTAAAACTATCTCTATTTGCAGATTACACGATCTTACATAGAGAAAATCCTACAAAATCCACCAAATGCTCATAATAGTATTGTTCACAATCACCAAAGAGTGAAAACAATTCAAATCCCTGTTAACTTATGAGTATATAGACAAAATGTATCTATACAATGGGATATTATTTAGCCATAAAAAAGAATGAAGTACTGATACATTCTACATGGAACCCTGAAAACATGCTAAGTGAAAGAACCCCAGACACAAAAGGCCATATAGTATATGATTATATTTATATGAAATGTCCACAGTAGGCAAATCCAGAGAGACTATAAGCAGATTACTGGTTGCCAGAGTGTGGGGTGAGGGAAAGATAAAGGGAAGTAACTACTTTATGGGTACAGGGTTTCTTTTGGGGATGATGAAATTAGAATTAAAATTAGATGAAATTAGAGACTGGACTTGGATAGTAGTGATGGTTGCATAGAGGCTTCCCTGGTAGCTCAGTTGGTGAAGAATCCGCCTGCAAGGTAGGAGACCCCAGTTCAGTTCCTGGGTTGGGAAGATCCACTGGAGAAGGGATAGGCTACCCAATCCAGTATTCTTGGGTTGTAAAACACTGTGAATGCACTAAAAGCAACTGAATCATAAACTTTAAAATGGTTAAAATGGTCAATTTATGTTATATGGGTTTTACCTCAATTACTTTAAAAAGATACACAGAAACACATAAAACAGTTTTCTATTTCTTAAGGTACATGGATGTTCTGTGTCCATAAATGCATAGCTAATTGTCCAGGATACTCTCCAAACTAGCAGCAGTAATAATATAAGGCAGAAATTTGTTCTTAAATGTATGGATTAAAAAAATTATTTCAACTATAATGGAAAAGAATCTGAGAGTCCATATATATGTATGGATAAAACTCAATCAATTTGCTATATACCAAAAACTAATAGAGCATTGTAAATCAACTATACTTCAATAAAAATTAATTATTCTTAATATCAAATTTAAGTCTGTGCATGGCATAACGTCTGAAAGACTATCTCTGGGAGTAAATTTAAAGGAAATTCACTTTCCGCCTTATATGTCTGCATTTTTCTGTATTTTAGAAACAGACATACTGTATTTATAATCCAGGGGAGAAAAGAAGGCAGAATCTGGAGAAGGGAGCAGTGAGGAAATAGAGACCAAGGAATGTGGTCTGTGAACACTTAGTAGGATAGGACTCAGGGAGTGCATCTTCCTGGCTTCGGCCTCATACGCTGCCACTTTGTGAATAACTACAAAAGCGTGAACGTAAAAGAGGCTGACAGGTTTTTCCAGAGACTTCTAAGGAGACAAAGCCAAGACATTCTGGCAATAAACAGCCAGGACAGAGTTGGGTAGGGGAGAGATCCCCAAGGAACAGTGAGGTCTAGTGTTCTGACCATGAGTCTGACCTGCATAGACCGAGCCTGAGTGTTGGCCACAACCACAGCCCCTTTATAAGTGATCCCTTCAGAATCCAGCATATTGGACTGGAACTAGATGCCTGACACCAGGACTGATGGTTCAATGCAGTGATGCAGGCCTTTGAGATGGCCGATACCACTCACTCAGATTGACAGACATTAATGGAGGCAACAGGGTCCGCTCTCGAGGACTTTTAATGTGACCTGAAGAAGTTGCTTGCTTGAAAATAGGGCCAGAATCTGTAAGACACGCTGATGGACAGTGCCATGGCAACTAGTAGAAGTGATGGTACGAGGCCTCAAATACACATAAACAGAAGCCACAGTATGTGGCTTATGTAGAAAAATGAGGAATATCATGCCTGTTAAAACTAGAGCCAGAATGGCCTTTCAAATCTCAAAGGACGCACAGCAGCTCTGCATCATCTGTTTCTGCAGTTTCAGTCCTAGCTCTGAATTCTAGAAACTCCTGTGAGCTCCCATGAGCCCTGGCCACAGAGTTGCATTCTTACAGCACAGCAGGGCAGACCCAGGTTTTGTGGGAACTAAAGTTTATATAAATTGGAAGGCCTACTTTAAGAAAAAGAATACAAAATTATAGACTTAAAATCAGGCCAGTGGATATTTAGGACAAATCAAGACAACAAATGACACATATAAAAGAGGTGGCAGAGATCACAGATGTAACAACATATAGATTAGTTAAGTGTCCTACCTCTGTGGTATTTTTCCTACATTTTTTGCTGTGTAATCTTTTATTACTTCTTCATATGATGATTTTTCATATGATTTTCTATAGAAACAATATCGTCTTTCAAGATACGTAAAACAGTATTTCTCATGCCAGCATGTACACCATTCCCAGAAGTTCTGGTTGGTTCCCGTAATCACTGTTCAGTTAGGTCACTCAGTCATGTCCGACTCTTTGAGACCCATGGACTGCAGCACACCAGGCCTCCCTGTCCATCACCAGTTCCCGGAGTTTACTCAAACTTATGTCCATTGAGTCAGTGATGCCATCCAACCATCTCATCCTCTGTCATCCCCTTCTCCTCCTGCCTTCAATCTTTCCCAGCATCAGGGTCTTTTCAAATGAGTCAGCTCTTCGCATCAGGTGGCCAAAGTATTGGAGTTTCAGCTTCAGCATCAGTCCTTCCAATGAATATTCAGGACTGATTTCCTTCAGAATGGACTGGTTGAATCTCTGTGCTGTCCAAGGGACTCTCAAGAGTCTCCAACACCACAGTTCAAAAGCATCGATTCTGGAATTCTGATTAACTCTATTTTACAAAATTCATACCAAAACAGAAAAAAAAGCTTGTAATATTTATAACTGTCTCACTGCATTGTCAAATATTATATTTCTGACAAGACAGAACTTCGATTTTAATCAGGCATCAATGAAAACAGAATCTACTACTTAGGATTTTACGTGTCTAAAAACAGTAAGAATTTTCTACGGACCACAGCTTTTGTCTTCAAACTTTTCAAACCTTGCTTTTCCTCCACCGTACCTACACTTCTGGTGCCAGGCACTGCAGGGAGTGTCCACATCACCATAGCTGCACTTCTGTCCCCATATCAAACCATGACACAGGTGAATGGATGTTGTAACTGGTAGGAAAACTCCTGGAAGTCATTGCTAGCAGAATGTCTAACAAGAATTTACCTATTCCCAGGGGTGACTGGGACCACATAAATCTATCACATTAACCCATACTAAGTATATCCCAACTCAGCTTCCCCTTAGTCACATTCCAAAAGAAACTGCAGCCATTCCATGGCACCTGACAAGAAAAGGGTGACAAAGGGGGTCAGAGAAGGGGCGACAGAAGCCCTCTCCAATTGCAGATAAACTATCTTGCTTCTGCAAATTTAACAAAACACATACTAGCCCATGAACACACAGCTCAGGTCCCTCCCAAAGACCCTGACACTTAGGCTTCCAGAAACCCACAATGGTAATGAGTGTGTCTGTGTAAACCCTTACTTGAAGGAAAGTTGAATGAAACTTTCTATCCACTGACACCAGCAGGACCAGAAATAAGTGGCTAGAAGGTGTAGAAAGAGCAAGGTTTAAGGCACCAGCTGAGTCTGAGAAATAAACTGAAAGCAAGAAATAATGACAGCCCACTTAAAGTTATGGGTATCAATAAATAAGGTGGCTGGTCAATCCATAAGAAGATACAAAAGGAGAAAGAGATGTGGGTGAAATGTGGATGAACAGGACCTAATGAGGGACTTGTGTGCAGGTGGGCGGAGTCTAGTGATGGGGTGCCTAACAGTTGAGGGCGGGGCTACAGACTAGGGTGGCCTAACTGATAGATGAGTGGACTCTAAAGACCAGGGCCATGGACACACAAAATGTGAGTGAGGCTCATACAGAAGGGATCTGTCCAGAGGATAATGAGCAGTGTCTAAAGGTGAGTAGGGTTTGGAAATAAGATGGATGGGGCCCAGAAATAAGAGGCCAGAGCTACCTGGGCCAGGCCCCCTTTCCTCCCAGCACCAGAGGTGGGGTTAGGAATGGGAGAGTACCCCACTGAGCATCTCCATGTTCTTCCTTCCCCCGATCAGTTAGAGAAGGCAGCCATACAGATTCAGTCATGGTGGCGTGGCAACATGGTACGCCGGACGTTACTGCATGCAGCACTCAGGGCCTGGGTCATCCAGTGCTGGTGGAGGTCGATGCAGGCCAAGATGCTGGAGCAAAGACGGCGCCTGGCACTAAGACTCTACACCTGCCAGGAATGGGCAGTGGTGAAGGTGCAGGCACAGGTTCGCATGTGGCAGGCCCGCAGATGGTTTCTCCAGGCACGCCAAGCGGCCTGCATCATCCAGTCTCACTGGCGCTGGCATGCCAGCCAAACCCGAGGCCTGATCCGGGGCCGCTATGAGGTCAGGGCCAGCCGGATAGAGCTCGACATCGAAATCCTCATGACCTAGGGTGCTGGCAGAGCCAAGGAGACTGGATCTCTCTTCCAATAAAGACATTTACTGACCATGGTCTTGCCCTTTGGAAATCAGACCCACAGAAGAGGGATCAGCCCCTTATCTTCCTGCCTTCCACCCTCCAAAAAAATGATTTCCTGGCATAGTCTAAAGCCTGTGCCAGGACAACTCACACTAGCCCTTGCTCCTAAAGTAAACCTGACCAATCTTGTACCCAAAAGAAAGCTCAGGGCTCAGGGCCAGCTCTGACACTTGAGCCAGCCTGATCCCAGCTCCCACCACAATTTGGGCAGGCACTGGACTTTACTCCTCTGCAGCCCCTGCCAAGCAATTTCCATTCAGATTAGGACTGGCTGCAGTCAGAGCCAGCTGGGAAGGGCCGGATTCCAGAGGCTTCTGATTGGCAGGGCCCTCAGGGCGGGCACAGAGCTTGGCAGAGAGCCAGGAGGACAGGATACCCCCAGCTGAGCAGCAGCAAGACAGGCGCTGTGCCTCAAGGGGAACAGCCAGCTAAAGCCAGCCCCTGGGGGAGGCCGGGGCAGAGGCAGAGAGGCTGCAGCTGTGCCTGCTGCCTCCCTCCCCAGGGGCTAAGAGACATGGCTCCCCACCTCGCAACCCCGCCCTGTGCTGGCCACTTCCTGGGAGAACCAAGATGGAGTTGGTGTGGGGGGAGAGAGCCTGGGGATTGGAGTGGATTAACAAGCAGAGGAAGAATAGGGGTGAGCAGGCAGGAGGGCTATCCCTCTGCCATCAGAGGTCATTAGCTTGGGGATACAGCTTCGAAACCTTATCACATCCTCAGAAGCAGCTGAGCTGCCCTTCCCTCAAGATTCCCTCTCTCCCGCAACCCTCTCACAAACTACCACACCCTCTGCTGAGCCTGCCATGAGTGGGTGCTGATGTGTCTATGCTTTGCTGAGGCTCTTATTATCTCTTGGCATTTATGTCTCAGTCATCTCTGAATATGCTCTCTCAGTCTCTGCTTTGTCAAACATGCCCAAGTCCCTCACTCTCACCCTATGGCAAGTGTGATACTTGTCTGAACCTGCATCCCAGGAGTCTGAGGTCCATGACCCTCCCCAGGATTTTGCGAAGGGTGGCCTTGCACAAGGGATGGGAGGACCAGCTGGGGAGGTGTACAGAAGCCAGAGGTTTTCATTGGCCTTACAGATGGGTAAGGTTCTCCCTCACCCCAGGGCTCATTGTGTATGTGTATGTGTGTGTGTGTGTTTCGGATTCAGGGTTCAGTCCAATATCTATCACCTCCAATAGCTGCAAGTGGCAATGATGCAGCCAGGTTCCCCACTCTTCCACCCTTTTTAGGAGCTTCAACACAGCTTTCTCCTCCCCTACTGGCAGTGGTGAGTGGTAGGAAACTAGTTAGGTCTACAAACAATATGGCAGGAATTCTGCATGATTTAGCCCATGAGGCATTCACCCCTGCAGTGAGAGGTGTTGCAAATCTATGAGAGCAAGAGTTTAACTCTCTGATTTATAGTCTACAATGGGCACTGGAATCCCCTAAGATACTGGAATGTCCTGATGCCTAGGCTCACCCAGAGATTCTGCTTTATCTGGGCTAGGGAGTTGCCTGGGCAATGAAATTCAGTATGCATCCACAATGTGAAAACTGATGAATTAAGTCCTTCCCAGCCCAGGTTACAGTCCTCTACTCAACTCGCGTGGTCCCATCTGCAGATGGTCATGTAGAATTCCCAGGTTTACACTCAGTGGGCTCAAGGAAATCAAGGTTTTCTGCTCTCTGATGAGCTAAGCATGCAAAGTAAAACAGGGATCTAGAGGCAGAGCTACCCTGAGTCAAAAACCTTTGGAAGCAGGAAGGTCCTGCCGGAGCCTGCCGGCAAACGAACTGGTCGAGAACGCAATTACCAGAGTACCTAAGAAAAATAAGACTCAGAAAGACTTAGAAAGATGGGGTTGAGAGGGACAGAGTCAGCTTGCGTCTGACTCTGCCAACTTTATTGAAGAATACCACACCTATATATATGCTAACAGGAGTTACTAATAGATCAAAGGTTTGCATATGTGCAGAGCTACAGGCACAGGTGTTTTAAATTCCTCCACTTAAGATCAGTAAAGCATCACCCTAGCGCCCAACATGATTAAGATCAATAGAACATTAACTAGATAGAAAACAGGCTTCAAGCACGACGAGTTTATCAGCACCAGGAAAACAGGCGAAAGGTCACCGGGGTGTTTTTTCCCTGAAGGGGATAAATGCCAGTCTATACTTTAACAAGAAGGGGTGGCAGGACAAAGAGAGACCCTTTGTTCTCTCTTAGGGCTGTAAGGGGCCTGTACGTTCAGGCCGGCTCCCTGCAAGGTCCAGCACCTCCAGACAGCTGGGGTCTGAGATGGGGAGAGGCTAATGGGGAAAGTAGGCTAGGCCTCTAGTCCCAGGTAGACAGGATCCCAGGAAGATGGCACCACACAGGTGTCAGTAATGGTGACTGTGGGGCAGTCCAAGAAGGTCAAGTTTCATCCAAAGTCTTAACCACCACTGCAAGAGTCCCTTCAAAGATCAGGGGTCTTGAGAAGCCAGGGATGGTCTAACCCTGTAGGTGTTGGGCATCAGAGAGGTCCAAGGAGAGGAATAAAGCATAGGACAGGAGTCAGGAGAGAAGCTCTTTTAGCAGCAAGGTCTGTGGCTAGCTGCCTATTGGTGGAACCACCGTTCCCTCCTTAGCAAGGATGAGACCACAGGTGGGACTTCTTACAGATAGACCTCTCAGAACCTCATAGACCCTCTCTTCTCTTTTCCACCATCACTAAACTGAGCTGCATAAGGAACTCTTCCTGACAATACACTGAAACAACACAAGTGGGGATGGAAGGAGCATGCTTGCAGCTAAGGGGCAGGTGTGGGTCTAAGAGCATTTGGGGGGACTTGGTATCCTCATACATGCGCCTTCCTCAGGTGACATGGTGGCCCCAAGAGATAGGTGACCCAGGCCTGATCAACAAAGAAATCTACTGACCCTCAGACTGGTCTAGCCTCCTGGGCCTCTAAGAAGGTAGTTCAGTAAGTGAAAGCCCATCCCCTCCCAGTCCCCTCCTGCCCTGGAAAAGGACCCCCACGTTACATCTAGTATCCTTGCCCCACAATGCCCACTCCATGCTCTCCAGCCCCTCACCTGATGCATCACCAACCTCAGTTCTGATCCCATCACTCCAAGGTCTCCATCCTGAATTTTCGTCTTTCTCTGTCCCACATGCCAGACCCAAAATGAGATGCCACAGCCACTGCCATGCATGCCCAGCAGCTTGAGTGGGCTGACCAACATCCCCCTGATCACTCACACACATTCACACACATTACAGGAGGACACTGGTTCTGACCACTATTCCACCACTCCCATTTTGCCAGGTGGATGCTGCTTAGCCTTTGTTCAGCTTTGTTTCTAAAACTCAAGTTTGTCCAGGTCCGCCAAAAATTAGTAGTTTGGAAATAAGCACTTAAGATGTAGATGGGCTGGACTGAGTTGAGAACAAGATTTGTTTTCTGGGCACTCCCAAGCTGGGCTTTCATATCAACTGTTCAGAACAAAGAACTTAGGATAGAGTATGTCCTTAAAGAGGGTGATAGATTTTGACAGTGAAAGGAGGTGGAACACAGGGCCCACAGAGAAAGTTCCAGCCATACAGGAAGAGACAAAAGTCCATTCAGAGCCCTGAGATAGAGGAGTGTGAAGGGGCTGAGGTACCGCTGCAGCCTACAGCCAGATCCTGCCCTCGGCCCCTCCTCTCAGGTTATCCCAGGAGACACCGGGGAGCCTGGGGGAGGCTGAGTGGTTCAGAGGCAAAAGTAGTACACGCCAAAGAAGGCAGAGTTCTCTGATGGCCTAGTGGTTAGGATTCTAGGCTTTTACTTCTGTAAAAGCCCAAGATGGGAGAGGCAAGATATCACAAAGGGGCCTAGGACGGAGACAAGAAGCCACAGACTGTGGAGACCTTACCACCCAAGGCCAAGACAGGGAACATGGGTATCAGAAGGTGAATTTAGGTCTGTGGGTGGAGGACATAGTAGGATTATCTATTGGGAGTGGGCTGAAAGCATGGTTTCCACAAGAGCAGGCAGAATCACCTGGAAGATCCAACCCAGGAGGGGAAAGTGGGAGGTATCAATGAAAGATGTTTGACTGTGAATTGGTAATTGCTGTTGGAATGATGACAATTCTGTCTCATTCTGAGATATGTTTGAACATTTTCACAATAAAAACATTAAAAAATAACTTTAGTATAAATAATAGAAGGATGAAAATTATTTAAATAACTTCCATAATAGTTAGGAATTGTATTGGGCTCTTAGGAACAGAAACCTGAAAACCAGCAGCTTAAACAAAATAAAAGTTTGTTTTCTTCTTCCATAAATAAAGCCCAGGAATGGGAAGGCCAAGGTACAGCAGCTGCATAATATCAAGAGGTTCCATCTTCTCTGTTTCCACATTGCACTCCTGGGATGGGACTAGTCCTCTTACTCTAGGATGACTCCTAGAATTTCAGCCATCACGTCTGCGTTTCAGGAGAGTAGGTGAAGAGCAAAGAGAAACATTTATGCCATTCATTTCTTTTAAAGGCCTTTCCCAGAAGGCTCACTCATCCAGCCTCCTCTACTTATATTTCACTAGCCAGAACTGTTACCGGACCTTCCCTGCTACAAGGACACACTGTCACCAAGTGTATCCAGACAGGCTAGATTCTGCTCTGATGCAAACTTTCAAATCTCAATGGCTTACTATGGAAAACAGTGTGGAGATTTCTTAAAAAGCTGGAAATAGAACTGCCATATGACCCAGCAATCCCACTTCTGGGCATACACACCGAGGAAACCAGATCTGAAAGAGACACGTGCACCCCAATGTTCATCGCAGCACTGTTTATAATAGCCAGGACATGGAAGCAACCTAGATGCCCATCAGCAGACGAATGGATGAGGAAGCTGTGGTACATATACACCATGGAATATTACTCAGCCATTAAAAAGAATTCATTTGAATCAGTTCTAATGAGATGGATGAAACTGGAGTCCATTATACAGAGCGAAGTAAGCCAGAAAGATAAAGACCATTACAGTATACTAACATATATATATATGGACTTTAGAAAGATGGTAACGATAACCCTATATGCAAAACAGAAAAAGAGACTCAGATGTATAGAACAGACTTGTGGACTCTGGGAGCAGGCGAGGGTGGGATGTTTCAAGAGAACAGCATCGAAACATGTATACTATCTAGGGTGAAACAGATCACCAGCCCAGGTTGGGTGCATGAGACAAGTGCTCGGGCCTGGTGCACTGGGAAGACCCAGAGGGATGGGGTGGAGAGGGAGGTGGGAGGGGGGACTGGGATGGGGAATACATGTAAATCCATGGCTAATTCATTTCAATGTATGACAAAAACCACTGCAATGATGTAAAGTAATTAGCCTCCAACTAATAAAAATAAATGGAAAAAATAAATAAATAAATAAAAATTAAAATAAAAAAAAATTTAGAAAAAAAAATCTCAATGGCTTAACTGAAATGTATTTCTCACTCACACAAATCTGCTGATCTCCAGGCAATTCTCCATGGTTGTCTCTCCGTGTGCTTGCTCAGTCCTCCAGGCTGTTCCAGGCTTACACCACCTCCATGTGGATATGAACTCCTGTGATTACACGCATCCAAGTAGGGGCAGGAAGGGCTGGAGAGATGAGTACTAGCCTTGGCGATCTTATACTTAGAAGTGTCTTATTTCACTTCTGCTCTGTTTTATTGGCTCAACACCCATGCAGCTGCATCTAACTTCAAGGAGAAGGACAATGCAATCTTCCAACATGCCTGAAAGGAGAAGGAATAAGAATGTTGGTGATGAAATCAATGTGCCCCTTGTCATGGTGCCATTTATGAGATAGAAGAGAGAGTAGATTGGGTGGTGGTGACAACCAGCCTCAGGCACAGCTCCTAAAGCATTATAGAAAAAATAGGAAGAAAAGATCTTGACTAATTCAACAGAATGGAAAAAATTAATAAGAAAGCAGGATAGAAAACCCAAAGATGGGAATAAGTCTATATTAAATAGAAATGGGTAAAATTTATCTACTAATATTAACAGAAATCTCACATTAGGTTTTAAAATATAGCCAATTATATGTTGCTTTATAATGGACACATCTAAAATAAAAGAAAGCTGGACACTGAAATTAAAACAACAGAAAAAGATAAAGCAGAAAAGAACATTTAGCTGTTTAAAAACACATTTACCCTTCTCTCTTCTAAGATCTAAGGAAAATGAAAAATGAATTAACTTCACACAAAAAGCTCACAATTCTGAACAGAGTGAAACAAGGGCCATCAGAGGATATAGGACCACAACTCTGGAAAAAGGAAAGAGGTACCAGATGAAGCAGGAAGAAGGAAGCTGAAGAACAAATGCTCACGGGGCAAAAGGATGAGTGACAAGAACTCAAACACAGGCATCTGACTCTAGGATGTGGGCCCATTCTCTCAAGTGCTTCCTCCACGAGACTTGTGGCTCTGGTGTAAGAAAGTCCTAATAGGGACTTCCATGGTGGTCCAGTGGTTAGGACTTTATGCTTCCACTGAAAGGTTGCTGCTGAACGATAAGACGCCGGGATTCTTGGCCTCCGGAGGAGATGAATTCAATCCAGGGCCAGAGACGAGGCTGGATCGCTCAGAGCTTTTGTGTAATAAACTTTTATTAAAGTATAAAGGAGATAGAAAAAGCTTCTGACATAGGCACCAGAAGGGGGCAAAAGAGTACCCCCCTCCTAGTCTTTAGCTGTATGTTATATAGTCACTCACAGTCTGTTAATGAAAAGAAAGGAATGTCATAAAATTTAGAATGGCACCAGATAATTCATCCTGGCCATAAAACGATTGACTTGAATCTTGTAGAAGGGCAGATAACCAACAAATAGTTTCCTTTACATAGATTAGGGAACAATATCTAAGTAAATTAGGCCGTTTGGCGGAACCAACGTGAAGATAGAGTCTGGGGTACATTAACATAGCTTAAGACAACATTTCCATAAGAAAAAGAAATGTGTCGGTTAACTGAAGGTTTGAGAGTAGTTAGCTTCAGGTGAAACCAGGTGTCATGGCAACACAGCATTTTAAGAGAAACCTCCTTTTAAATTTGTATAGAGAAGGAAAAACATATCGCTGGTTTGTTTCCTCCTGCTGCTCAAGACAGAGAAAAATGTCTGGCACTTGCAGCCTATTTCCTCCGTTTGGAGACACCTGGCCTTCCTGCCTGTTACCCTCCCACCACTGCAGGGGGCACAGGTTTAATCCCTGGTTAGGGGACTAAGATCCTGCAAGTGAGGTGCAAAAAAAAAAGAAGTATTGATAGAATGAAAGAATACAGAGTTCATACTCCTACATTTAAAGCATAAAATGAGTATTGAGGGCAATGAGCAGTCTTGACACCTGAAATTCTGCAAAATATCATAGTTGATCATTCCAAGTAATACAGTAATATAAACCATTCCAAAATAGAGAAAGAACAGAAAGTTACCCAACTGTCTTTATGACGCTGGCATAGCATTGTTATCAAAACCAGACAAGTATTCTGAGGATCTAATGTATTAACATGGTGACTATAGTTGATAACACTGTATTACATAATTGAAATTTTCTGAGAAAGTAGAACTTAAATGTTCTTACTATATATATATATATATATAATATGTTAATTAACTAGATGGGAGAATCCTTTCATAATGTATTTATATATAAAATTATCAAAGTGTATAAATCTGTTTGTCAATTACATTTTAATAAAGTTGAAAAAACTAAAAAAAATAACCCAGACTGGCATATTATAAGAGAGATAAATTAAGATCACCATCTATAATAAATATAAATGTAATGTATACCTAATAAATATAAAATATAAAAATTAAAATAAATATAAACCTTAGAGTATTAGCAAATTACAAACATTAACTTTTGTTTATTTGTGTTTTCGTTTTTTGGCCTTGCTGTATGGCTTGTGGGGGGATCTTAGTTCCCTGACCAGGGACTAAATCCCAGCCCTACCCAGTGAAAGCAGAGTCCTAACCACTGGACCACAAGGGAATTCCTCAAGCATCAAGATTTAAATGTATATACATAATGACAAAACAGGGATTTCCCCAGGAAACCAACAATGATTCAATACTGAAAAACTCCATCATGTTAACTGATTGATTAAAAGAAGAAAAAATCATTATGATCAAAAGTAAGCATTCATTATCATTTTTTAAAAATTACTAGTAAAATGTAAAGAAAATAAACTATAGTAAGGAGCCAAAGAATAAAAACATATAAGGATCTCACACAACTCAACAGCATAAAAACCAAACAGTCCAATTTAAAAATGGATGAAGAACTTGACAGACATTTTTTCAAAGAATATATACAGATGGCCAACAGATACATGAAAAGGTGCTCAACATCACTAGTCATCATGGAAATGCAAATCAAAACCACAGTGAGATACCACCTCAAATCTATTAGAATGCCTATTATCAAAAAGATAAGACATAACAAGTGTTGGTGAGGATATATGGAAAAAAGTGAATTCTTGTGCACTCAGTGGGAATGTAACCTTGGTACAGCTACAGGGGGAAAAAGTATGGAATTTCCTCAAAAAATGAAAAATAGAACTACCACATAATTCAGCAATCCCACTTTCAGATATACTTGAGAAGGAAATAAAATCACTATCTCAGAGAGACATCTGCACTCCCATATTCATCATAGCATTACTCACAACAACCAAGACATGGGAACAACCAAAGTTTCCACTGACAGATAAAAGAATAAAAACAGTATTGTTTTGGCTATTTTGGGTCTTTTGACTCTCCATACCAACTTAAAATCAACTTGTGGTTATCCACAAAACAACTTTCCAGGATTTTGTTTGGAATTGTGTTGAATCTGTAGTTCAAGTTGAGAAGAGCTAACATCTTGACAACGTTGTGTCTTTCTATTTATATAATGAATATCTCTCCACTTATTTAGCTCTTATTTTATACTTTATCAGGGCTTTATAATTTTCCTCATATAGATCTTATATGTATTTGGTTAGATTTATACCAAGTATCTCACTTTGAAGAACACTGTGTAATAAATGATAAGGTTTTTTTAATGTCAAATCCCCCCTTTTTATTGTTTTTTTTTCTTTTTTTTCTTTTTATTGGTTTTATGCAGGTAAGCAATTGACTTTTGCACATTAATTTTGTATTCTTCAACCTTCCTATAATCACTTCATTCCAGGAACTTTTGTTACTTATTCTTTCAGATATTCTACATAGATGATTGTGTCATCTGAGAACAAAAGTGGTTTTATTTCTTTCTTCCCAGTTTGTATACTTTTTCTTTCCCTTCCTCATCTTATTGCATTAGCTAATGGTGTTGAAAGCAATGATTTTGGTCCTGATCTCAGCAGAAAAGCTTTAAGTGTGATGTTAGCTGTTTTTTTGTAGCTCTTCTTTATCTAGTTGAAGAAGCTCCCCTCTATTTTTATTTGCTCAGAGTTCTTCATTATGGATGTTGGATTTTCTTAAACTATTTTTCTATATCTTGATATGATCATGTGATTTTTTTCCTTAGTCTGTTGAAGTTATGAATTACATTAATTGATTTTAAAATTTGAACCAGACTGACATAGCTGAAATACATTCCATTTAGTTGTGGTATAATTCTTTTTATACACAGTGAGTTTTGTTTTGCTAATATTTTGTTGAGGATTTTTACATCTATGTTGGGGAGAAATGTTGGTCTACAGTTTTCATTTCTTGTAATGTCTTTGGCTTTGGTGTTAGGGTAATGGTGGTTTCATAGAATGAGTTAGGAAGTATTCTGTTTCTATCTGAAGAAACTATAGAGTATTGATATAATTTCTTTTTTAAAAGTTTGGTAGAATTCACAAGTGAACCCATTTGAGCCTGGCACTTTATATTTTAGAAAGTTATTAATTATTGACTCAGTTCAATAGATATGGACCTACCAGATAATCAATTTCTTCCTCTGTATATTTCGGAAGATTGTGTCTTTTAAGGAATTAGTTTGCTTCATCTAGGTTCAAATTTGGGAGCACAGAGTTGTTCAAAGTATTCCTTTATTGTGCTTTTAATGACTATGGTATCTGTAATGATGACACTAAGGCAGCATTTCACATTAGTTTGGGGGCAATTATCAGACATTACACTTCAAATATGGTTTATGTTCCTTCTCCTTCTGGCATTCCCATCATATGTCTCTTAAATCTTTTGTGGTTGTTCCACCATTCTTGAATTTTCTGTTGTTTTTTTCCCCAGACTTTTTCTCTTTGCCTTTTAGTTTGGGAAGTCTATTGTCATATTCTAAGCTCAGAGACACTTTTCTTAACCATGTCCTGTCTACCAATGAATCCATCAATGGCATTCTTCATTTCTGTTACAATTTTTTTAATATGTAGAATCTCTGTTAGATTCCATTTCTTTGTTTACATCATCCATCTGTTCTTGAATGTTGTTCACTTTCCTCATGAAAGCCAATAGCATATTAATAATATATTCACTAAAATTCTTGGTCTGATCATTTCAGCATTCTTGCCATATCTTTTTCTGGTTCTGATCCTTATTTAGTCTCTTCAAACTGTTTGCCTCTTTGGTTATTTTTTGTTTTTGCCTTTTAGTATGACTTGTAATTTTTTTGCTCAAAGATAGATGTGAGGTACTGGGTAAAAGGAATTGTGGTAAATAAACCTTTAATAATGTAGTGGTAAGTTGTGGAGGGAGGTGAAGCATTGTATAGCTTGGTGGTTATGTCCCAGTCTTTTGATGATGCTG